ATATATATATATATATATATATATATATATATATATATACATATATATATATATATATATATATATATATACATATATATATATATATATATATATATATATATATATATATATATATATATATATATATATATATATATATATATATATATATATATATATATATAAGAGACGAAACTGTTCAAATGAAGAATTGCAAATAAATGGAATAACAATTATTTCGTGTTTGACTGTACACATTTTGAAATTTTTGTGTTTGTTAGTTTATCGTTTTTTTATGGAGCATGATGGAATTTCGACAGGCAGACCGTACAGTATTCTCGTCATTGACTTCTATTTTGGGCCATGTCTCCCCGCGTCTCTAACCGGCGACAATCCTCATCCCTTGGACCCCAACCCTGAAGGGGGTCTGCACCAACCGAAGCTAAAGCTGTAGCCAGCTTCTGCATACCTCTACGCCATGTGGTGATCTGACTGCCGCGGAGCTTCTTCCAGCCCTGGAGCACGGAAAGGTGGTCGATGGGCAGGCATACACAAAACGTGACCAAGCCATCGGAGGCGGTGTAGAGCGATTACTTCTGTCAGAGAACGACCATCGTACCCAACACACGACGAGGAACCTCGTCACTGCTCACCCGATATTCCCGCCAGACATGATCAATGCTTCGGAGACATCGGTGCCCGAATACAGAAAGTCGATTATCATCAAAAACGCGGATTGGCCAGGTCTCGCAACCATAAAGCAGAACGCTTTGAACCGCGTCGGTGCACACCCTTCCTTTAAGGGACAGTCGGATGTCATGTTGACGCCACAGGTGTAGCAGGTTGGCGAAAGCTGATCTAGCTTTCGCTATTCGTGATGTGATTTCCCCAGCACCACCACCAGCCGCATCAGTTGTAAAAAAATAAAAATACCCAGTAAAAAATGTAATTATAATTTAAAATAAAAGACTAAATTGCAATACTGCACGATTTATGTCCAGGACGATTTCGCTGCATCTCAACATGGTGCATACTGCAGAAAAAACATCAGTTATATAGGAATTTAGCGTAGCAAAAAAGAAGAGTAAAATACAATGTCAGTTTATTCTTACCCTGGTGACAGTCTTTTTAACCCCTCCCCCCCGTTTATGTTTGTCTGTTTCATTGTATTTTACTCTTCTGTGTTGCCATGCTAAATTCCTATATAACTGATGTTTTTTTCTGCAGTATGCACCATGTTGAGATGCAGCGGACACGTCCTGGACATAAATCGTGCAGTATTGCAATTTGGTCTTTTCTTTTGAAATTGATCTCGGGAAAGGCTTGCTTCAATTACAATTTATTTATGAAAATGACTCATATGTGTGATAACTGTATTAAACTTTCGTTTTGTCAATGTTCTATTTACTTTTCTTTATTTCGAGCACTGGAGGCGGTTGGTTTTCGATGGAGTGCAACAAGTTGACTGTTCAGCGAAATGTTCCCAGTTTTCTCTGATACACTCCGCAGCCTGGCCACTGATGACCACTATCAGAGGGAAGCTAACTGAACACTGTTTCTAACACAAGGAAAAGTTTTCCATCATATTCAAATCCCAGTTGCTGGGCAGTAATTGAATGAATAATTCAACATTGAACTAGTCCCATCCAGAAACTGCATAAATATGAGGGCGACATAATTTATCAATTTATTTAAGCTGGAAAATTTTATTTAACCGGCTTTTTTTAAAAAAAAAGATAAGCTATTAAGATTGCGTGTATTGACCATAAAGTTTCTCCTCATGAAACAGTGATCAGTTATTAGACAGAATGAACTTCCATGCTGCTTTGCATAAAAACATTTTTCAATTCTGATTTGTAGCTTACCAAATGCAGGCAAATTCTGTCACGACACTCAAGGTCACGCAAATTCAAACAACGATAGAAGATAACTAAGAACATTGCGGTGGGAGGTGAGATTCGGAATATATACACTTCACCCATGGCCATCAATATACAAGTGTGATATTCGCATCTGAAATGTTTTCTTTTCCGAAATGGGAGTTGTGTTGTTTAAGTTTGATTAATATCTGTGGATACAATTAAATTGGAATTGTACTGACCTCTACGAACTGCTTACACATGTCCCGTCAATGCCATATAGTCACTCAGTCAACCACACTGAAAATGGTTCGAGCTCCACAATTTTACTTTCATGTCAACCGAGAAACATGTCTGAAATCGGTCAACACATGACCCCATCCCCCCCCTATGCCTACGGCTAACTGATAGGATTTGTGATACGATTACAGGAGATACATGCCCTTCCAAACCAAAATAGACCGTAAATCGGGAATCTAGGCCAAATAAGTCAATAACGGAGGCCATCTGCAACTATTTCAATCGAGACCAAATCAAGTGAGATCACGATTTAACGGAACCGATGCAATGGTCTGAAACACTTGGATGACAAAAGACTGCTAACTGTTATCATGATACCATGTGAATCCAATCCGTCTCGGTCGAAAGCGTTGACATCGTGACGATGGAAGGCCTGCTGGGAGATGAAAAAATAGCACAGAAATAGCCCTCTGCCAACCCCTCCCGGTCGCAATAATAATGTTCGTAGCACAGTCCTCAAACCCGGATTTAGCGGTACTAGTCTTGACGTCTGAGATGAGTAGTTGTTTCACAATTTCACATTTAATTTCATGTTTCAATTGGTATTTATTTTACAAAAAATCAAAAAGTGCAATCGGATGCGAATCTCATCGAATTTGAATGAGATAAAAGGATACACAAATGGGGGTAGATGTACGAACGCTCTCCAGTGTTATCTAGTGGTTTGATTCGTGTACAACTCGTGTACAGTGCGTCGATTCACAAAAAGGTCATGGTTTTGCATTGACTCCCGCGGGGAAGTCAGTCACCACGACCACTCTCCTCCAATCCTGCACTTTTCAAAAATCATCCAGTAGTGAGATCTCTGGGATTCGCCCCTTGGAAATCGATGTTTGTGGAGAATGACCGTGTGGAAATGTTTGTGATAACCGACACAAGGAGCGTACTGGACAGCTGTTGCGTCCTGTTTAGGACTCGTCAGCAGTGCGTACTTTTTGTGTCCCTTTCAGGAGTAGAATCGTGAAAATTTGGGTCAGGACTTCAAACCCTTATCCGTACAACAGCTTGTATTTTATCGACTGTTTACTTGACTTTAAACATTATGTTTTCCTCATTTCATTATCCTACCGGAAGCAACAAATGCTGACTGTATGCTGAACAGCTTACATACCAGGCAAGAAAGGGAATTGAAAAAGGAACCAAGGCAACATGGAACTAACTCATGAACGATTGTTAAGAAAGCTCGTGTGAACAGCTGATTTTACGTAGCTTCATGAAAGCGATTATAGAATGAAATGAGTGGACAGATAACGCATGATCCCAGTGATGTAAACGACTTCCTTCCTGGACATTCCAGTGTGAGGACTATGGAGTTCAATTCTCATACTGGTAGTCCAAAAACGACAAGAGGTCAGTCATCAAACATACCACAGGCATACAATAAACTAGCTTTTATATTCTACTAAATTCCCTCAATGTTACTGTGTCCACAGAGACATGTGAGTTTACCTTTCCCAAATTTCTCGCAAAAGTATTTTGGGTTTTTTTTGTTCTCCTTTTTAAAGGATTTTACAGATTTAACCCAACTCACCTCGGACCCAGGTAATCGATAATTTTCACATACTTAACTTTAACCGAACCAACAATATCCATTGTACTATTAGGGACAAGAACCCGTGTACATCGAATCCAAGTCCCGCTAAGCAACAATCGCTGCGGTCAGAGAGCGGTAGAAGGGATAAACGGCCATCAGTAAGTGGGCATGAACAAAAACGGTCACTCACCTTTAAACCAGGCCAATTCTGGCGGCGGATTACCACCAAAGGTGGTGCATGTCAATTCGAGCGAGTGTGCCATCTTGATCGGCTCTAGACTTTTGTAGCCGGAAATTGTTGGAGTGCCAGGTGGATCTGAGAAACGAATTGAAAATATTGCAAATTGTTTTCATAGGCGTTTGCTCATCGAACACGTACTATATACTGCATTGCCAGAGCTCAATTTTTTGTGCTGCACATGAAATTCTCCGTCTCTCTCTCTCTCTTCAATGTTTCCATCGGAATCGTTAACCAATGTGCAATTCGGTTTTTCCGAGCTGTGAAGTTTTCGTATTGATCATTGCATTGCATCTGGCTCAAACGCCGAGGTCATGACCTACCATTGTGATACCATATGGGGAACACCCAGAATAGCTATCCGTTTTCTTTGAAGCAACTCGTCCATTGGTTAATGTGCATCAGAAACTTTTTTAAAGTGCTCTACCTGTAGAATTTGAATCCAATACAGTATGGGAAAATTTTTGAAAACTTTCAGTTCCTACCAAAGTAAGATGATGAAAAGCCAATATCCTGGGATACCACCGAGTCGGTGAGCCATTGGTAGTTCACCTAGGAGAGTTGGAAAAAAAATCCAGATTCCAAACCAACCAAGAAGTGGCGTACGAACCATACACAAACACACACACCTTTCTCGTCGTGGTAGTGGTAACCGGCTTGACTGGACATTGGGCAGCTTGGAAGTTTGACTCTATCCAAAGGCTGTATGATCCGATGAACTGCATACCTGTCCCCAATGGATCGCGATTTTCACACACTGCCTAGCTGCCTTGGGAGTTAAGCTTTAGTCAGCCGAAAGCTCCAGTTGTGAAATCCCCAGGAAAATTTACATGCTTTGGCCTGGGCGACCTGGCAGTATTTTGCTCACAAGCAAATCATGAGACGTTTTCCTTTTTATAAGGATTATTTTACCGTGATTTTTCTGGCACAGTCTCCACACAGACGTGTGTAAAAATTTGATACATATATATACCGCCTTCAATCTAGGAACGGTCATGAAAGATCAGGTAGTGCCATCAAGTTTTTTGGAGAGCACGGGGACAGGAATGTGTAGGCGGACTTCTGTCGCTTCGACTGTGGCAAAAATGTGACCTCTGGTCCCCTGAGATCGACCAGGGCAAATCAAATATAGAGGAGTCAAAATAAATCAGCCAGATACACACTACGTGATTTGACTGCACAAAGTGTGTGAGACAGTTAAACTAATGAAGAACTTGAAATTCAGTCGAGCTGAGTGGCGTTCATGAACTCGTTTACTCGTGTCAAAAATGATGATGTTCAAAGAAAACAGGTTAGCTCAAGTTTCGCAATTCCGGTAATTGGAGTCTAACTGGCGATTCACCTCGTCACTCCCACTCCCAACCCCAAATCTTGTGTACACTCTGACAATGTGTCTTTTCATTTCACTGCCTATATAAAGCTTGTTCAGAACGACCAGGAATACTTTGATAAGCAAAGGGAGGTCGATATTACCCGGACAAACATGGAGTTGTTTTATTTGAAGAGAAATAACCACCCGCACGGTACAATTGATACCGCTCACTTGATCTNCACCCATCTTTAAAGAAACGGAAGATTCCAAACCAGTCGGTCTAACGTGATTAGAAAGGCACCGGTCACACATACACACACACTCGCCTTGCCAACTAGTCGGTGCTAGAAAAAAATATCGCACCAGTACCATTTTTGACAGATTACCTTTGCCGGGTGTGAACGAGTAAATGAGCACGGGAAACAGAACAGGAAAATAAACAAATTAGCTTTGAAGATGTGCTGATGGATGCTCTTGGGATTTGTCGGAGCTCGCAGATCCCCACCTGGGGGGTTGTAATGATTGCTCGGTTTCATACGATACCTCGTATCCGCTCGAAAATGTATCCATAGAAAATTAGTCGTTCAACTGCACGCTAAACTTATAGTTCTGCTATGCAATTTTTATTGGGCAAACACTAAATCCAGTGTTGATCATATGTTGTGAATCTCTTTGACTAAGCAAGCATGGTTGGAGCTTTAAAATACTTAAACGAGCCCGTCGACTCCCGTCTCACTCTGATTAACTACGCATTAGCCTCCCGCTCTCTGTGCCGTTCAAAAGCAACGCGACGATGTAAATAAAAAGCCACGTGTGCTACGCTACAGAAAAAGCTTCGCAGAACCTCCAGGATACTCAGCACATACACAACACGCATTCCTCCGACAACGAGCCATATCACTTCGTGCTTCTGATTCCACATCCGGAGCTATCAACGCCACCAGCGGCTTTCCACAACGGTCCGAACTAGGTCCCCGTCTGTTCCTCGTAATCATTAATAATCTACCGAAAAATGTTAGGTCCAAAAACAAAGAAAATTCTGGAATACAGTAACCGAAACCCATGGGTACCTAACACTTCAAGAATCATTTAACGCAGCTTATCAATGGTCTAAGGAGCACGACATTGAATTCAAGGTTTCTAAATGTAAAGTCCTACCCCCGTGCCACAAGAGTGGATTCCCGTATTTCCTCGGAAATCAGCAGCTGCCACATACCTCGAGTGTGAAGGAGTTAGGCATAATTGTTCAAGAGAACTTAAGCTGCACAATCAATTTTACTCAGGCTTCGTTCGCTGCCGTGAAGAATGTCAGCTTGCTTAGCCGAATTCGAGGAGACTTGATTTTAACGTATCAAATACTGCAGAACCCAAACCATCCATGTCGGCCCTTGCTGCTGTTACCCAACAATGTACACCTTAGGGGACATCGTTTCAAGTTACTGATTCAAAAGTATCGACTGGAATGCCGGCACCAGTCTTTTGCAGTCTACCTGGGACTCTGTAATCTTTTTCGCCGAGAAACGATTCAACTGGGTAAATATTCTATGGAGACAAGAAAGGTATGAGCTCGTAAGTAATTCGCATCTACTGCGGGTGCCTTGCCGGTCGATCGCGGGGTCGTTCCTTCAGATACCAAATACTGTAAAGCACGCGAATCCCTAAAACGGCCACGCATCAAGAGCCTGAGGAATTACGGTGAGAAGTGTGTAACAAATGCAGTTAGTATTTTCCATCCGATTAGGCATACGGAGCCAAGGATAATAGGCGCGAAGTAAGTGACTGGTTCGAAGACATTAATTTATATTCTGCAATCATTTCTTGACCAATACGTAAATCCAGGTAGGTTGGATGTCACTCGGGATGGTTAAGTGACAGTGCATGCATTGTTGGCAAGCAGTTTGTAGACTAAAGGTGTATAACATAATCACCAGATTGGGTTGATTATACACCCAGCCTTACTCTAGCAGGAGGAAGTAGTAGAAAAGTGGACAACTATTTTTAAATTTTTACCGCCATAGCTCATTCGTCGGAGGCATCACGGACGAAGCTTTGAATCGCACACAGAAAGCTAAATTAGATTTTTCCAACTTGAGACATCTCTGATACTGTCGTGACATTCAACTGTCTGTAAATGATCGAATATATGACGCAGCAGCTCGGCCAGTGCCGCTATATTGCACAATAACTTGGCCATTAGGAAAATGGGCTAAAGGTACACACATAGCCGGTGTTTGAAAATCACTATCCACATTTCATCGGATGACTCGTGTGAGGCAACCGGAAAAGCTGAAGTTGGGCGTAGAGTTTTCGGTAATCATGGTTGCCCACTGGAGCAAGCTCTTCCCTTCCATAAATTACATTGTTTAGCATGTGTGTTCAGCATATCACCAAATTGGTTGTCACGGCGCGCGATGGTTGTCGAAGAAGGTAACAGGCTAAACAGACAAAGGTTGGTCAAATGAAGCCCTGGTACGATGGTATGAATTTCAGGACTAAGAGACGTGATTGCATACATAGTTCGTGTTAGGCTTCCTGGATGGGGCTCTTGTGGTCATTGTAATCGATGATTAAAGACAATCTGTGATATGGCTGTGACGTACACAGAGGCGCTCATGCATCTGCTTATTACGCCATTGATTTTATCCTACGGGAATTCTCAATTTTCACCTTCAAACTGCCTCAACATTCCAATCTTCCCTCAAGCGCTACATCCAAACGTGCAGCCAAGGGACAGCAACCCAAATAGGTCCATGAAGGTGCATCACTATTGGTGGTAGTATTCATGCTAGTAATACTACTACTATTGTTAATACCACTATTGTTACGACTACTACTACTACTGCTACTAACACCAATACCAACAACACTGCTGGTACTACTAGTAACACTAATCAATAGTAGTAAAATGCGAATTTTTAATGCAACATGCATCAGATCAAAATCCCCAAATCACGAAAGAAGCCGTGGTGAATGGAAGAAGATTGCGAAAACTTTAAACGACAACTTTGGGGAGCTAAAAATGTGGTGACAAGCCTTGATCATTGTGAACTTCCCTCGCTCCGATTCAGGGTCTAATAATTAAAGTCCCATGGTCCAGAAGGGTTTTCAGTTAACACGAATTAAGCAGTGGAATTTGCTCCACCATCAAAGCTGCAGTTGAACCAAATTTTCGAGGCTCCACAACCTTCACTCACAACAGCCTAGAATTTCCATCAACTGAACAGACGCGCACAGATGCTGCAAAATTTTTCCTACGAAATATCCAGTCATTCAAAGAATAAAAGACTTATTATGACTGACGCCGACATCCCAATCGGCATTTTGAGACCACTAGTTGCAGACGAATTTCCTCTAAGATGAACGTTGGGTGATAATTTTAGCATCATTTGTTATACCATAATCATGTCTCCCCTGATGCGCCGATAGTGATTGGAATAAAACCCCTGAGACTTCAATCGCTCTGCGTATGAATAATGATTCAACCCCTAACCATTTTGGTGGCCATTCTCTGTGGACGCTCCAGCATTTTGCAGTCACGTTGTAGCCATGGACTGCATGCCTGGATGGCGTACTCTGTCAGTGTGTGAATGTATGCAGATAGTAGACGAGGGAAAAGCGTTGACTCATACCGGCCAAAGACCTGCTTAAGCAACCCGATTTTCTCTACACCTGTGTTTTCGACACCTTGGCGCAGTTGAGTGAGCAGTTTAAGTTTTCTTGAATGATGATTCTCAGGTCCTTCTCACTTGAGGCTCGCGGCAGTTGT